TTTTTATTATTATTTTTTTTTTGGTTACCCAGCGAAATACCTGCATATTTTTGGAAAAACAAAGAAAAAACACCTCAAAAAAATGTCAATCAATTTACACCAATAAAACAGTTAAAAATAGGGAGATGCTATGGTTTACGGAATCATTCCGTCGGGGTTTGTAACCATTAGATCAACTATCCCCGACGGTTACATGATGATCTAATAGTTACAAATTTCAGCGAAATTGTTTCGTAAGGGAACTGTAGCATTTCCCTTAAAAATAAAGCAAATATCCTACCGACTCCAAATCATTTATCGACCCGACTCAAGACTCGTAACCGTAATGAGAGCCTCCCCGGAGCTAATCGAATGGCTCGGCGTCTCGCAATAAACCGCCACCGGCATTCTGTTTGGGAGCCTCGGCAAATCCGCCTCGAAATTCAAAGCCCGAACCGCCTGCCTTATCGACGGCCTCAACGTCCTGTCCGGGTGAGCACACCATAACCCCACCGTCACCAATCGCTCCGCCTGCTCCGCATTCAAATTCATCCCTAATTTCTCATCCACAGCCGATATAATCCCCTCCTCCCCATAAAAATCCCAAACCCACTCCAACAAACTCTTACCCCTACCCAACGTACGAACCGATTTTTTCCCCGTCACGATTTCGAGCAGCACGATCCCGAAGCTATAAACGTCCGACTCCTTGCTTGCGCGGCCTGTGCTCACGTACTCTGGCGCAAGGTACCCGAGAGTCCCTGCCAGACCAGTCGTCTGGTGCCCGAGCCCGTGCGCCATCAGCCGTGCCAGCCCAAAGTCCCCCAGCTTCACATTGAACTCCGAGTCGAGCATAATATTGCTCGACTTGATATCCCTGTGGAGAACACACTGCTCCCACTCCTCGTGCAGGTACAGCAACGCGGATGCTAATCCAACAGCTATCCTGTATCTCGAACCCCACTCGAGAAGCTTGTGCTTCTTCCCAAACAGGTGATAATCCAAGCTGCCGTTGGGCATGAACTCGTAAACCAGCAGAAACTCGCCCCGCTCGTGGCACCATCCTATGAGCTGCACCAAGTTCCTGTGTCTCACCATGCTTATCGTCTTCACTTCTGTTATGTATTCCTTTTTACCCTGTTTGGATGCACTGGAGAATCTCTTCACAGCCACTGTTAAATCCCAGCTAAATAAACGCCCCTTGTACACGCCTCCAAATCCTCCCTCTCCGAGCTTATTCTCGTCCGAAAATTCCTGTGTAGCCGACGAGAGCTCTTGGTACGAGAATCTCCGCGGCCACGTCCGGTCCAGATGGTCGCTGATGGATCTCAAATTGTCTGTATCATCTGAATAATTAATTTTATTATCTTCATCTGTTTTGACTTCAATCTCAACCTTTTTCCCCGATGACGACTCGCAGATCGCAATTAGACAAACGCAAATGATCACGACGAATCCCGACAGGGATAAACCGGTAACCAACCCGATCCTGCTGTTTACTTCTCTATCCTTCTCCTCGTCAACAATATCAAGGCTCGTCGAGCTGAACTCCCACGACTGGAGTGTGTGCCGCTCGACGTACGGTCCAGTGGCGGCTGTGATTCCGACGGTGACGAACGGGGGAAGGACCTCTCGGAGGTTGATACGGTACGAGAGGCTCCTCCTCGACGATTTGTTATTGCAATAGATCCACGAGACGGTGAGATTTTCCGCAGAGGCATCGTA